GTGATGGCAGAAGCAAAGACCTTTGCCTCTTTGCCTTCCTGCACAGCCGCAGTATGAGAATTAAAAAAAATCTCAGTGACGCATTAAGGATACGATTCTAACATGATGATCACAGAGGTCACAGATTCTGTGACTTTCCAGGACCTCCACGACTTCTTCTGGGGCTGGAGCAGCAGCCCCTGGAACAGCAGGCCAAGGGCCAGCCTCGGGGCTGCTGGAGCAGCAGCCAGGGAATGGGGGTGGCCGCCTGAACAACTTGACCAGTGGTCAGCCCTGGGGCCGCCAAGCAGCTAACTGGCAGCCAGCCCCGGGCCCGCCAGAGCAGTGGCCCCTGGAACAGCTAGCCACTGGCCAGCCCCAGGGCCCCCGAACAGCTGACGGCTGGGTGCTGGAGTAGCGGCTGGGATGTGTGTGTGTGTGTTACTAGAACAGCTGATCAGGGCTGGTCAGTCTCAGGGCCCCCATACAGCTGATGGGTGGCCAGCCCTGGGCCCGCCAGAGCAGCAGCTGGGGTTGGGACAGCTGCAAGCCCAGGCAGTGCTCTGTTTGTCCTCCCTCTCCGCAGTTATTTTTAGTAATAGTCAGGGACAGGGTACGGGCTTCCATTAATTTTTGTTTATTGCCCACGACCTGTCCCTGACTTTGACTAAAAATACCCGTGACAGAATCTTAACCTTACCTGTTTTTTATCCATAAAGCAGGGTGACCCGTGAGACTGAAGTCAGGGAAGAGAGTACCACCCTACAAAGGTTAGAGCTTCATCATAATCTTTTGTCCTCACTAACTTATTGGTAGAGTGAGTCTGCTGGCAGTATTCTCCCTCTCAGCCCTTTGAGACTGCTCAGGATCTGTTAGCCTCTGAAAACTGGCCAACATAACAGGTCCCTTGCCCCAATAGGAAACAAGTGCACCAGCTTCAAACTACAGGAGGTAGTGATTAATCCAAGACGTGGGCAAGTGTTCTATTCTCAGATCCTAGCCCAGGTGCTCCCTTATATGCGTGCTCCAGATAAAGACAGTTATCACAGACATCCAACTGCCATTAGAACCAGGAGATGTAGGGAATCTAAACTGTACCTGTTACATTTCAGTGGCCTTGGTATCACCAAACATGATTTTAACACAATTTGTTTAGATTATGGTCTTTGTTAAGGGTCAGATCCTGCTAGCTCTCTATGTAAGGAACTCCAGTTGAAGTCAGTCAATGGGAGTTTTGATTCACAGGGAATGGAAAGTTCAGGTCCTAAATGTAATGTTTGGCAGCACTTAAAAAATAGCCTTTGATTTTGACTTCAACAAATTCCAGCAGATGAAATGCTGGCTACAGAAGTGTTTCACTTAAAAGCACACAAATTACACAGAGCTTTTGATATTTAAAGAGTCAGTTGGTAAAGTTTTTTTTTAAAGGTAAACTGCCAATAAATACATAAATAAATAAAAAAATCGGGCATTAATGATGTTAGCAAGGAATAGTATGTGGCATATTGAAATAGGGTTATCCTAGTTCATTTACATTGAGGATGAGGGTGTATATTTCCTGGATGGGAACAAATCTCTCTTCTACCAAGTATGAATGTAAGTACTTTCTTATCAAACCTGATCTTGAGTGAATGCCTGCAGCCCTCACCCGAGGAGAGGTGAGGGCTGCAGGCTCCGGGGGCTGAGGGTGGGGCTGGTGGTGGGAAGGGAGATATGCGGGGATGTGTTCTCTGGAGTTGGGGGGTTGGGGAGCCCGGGGGGGGGCGATGGGGGAGGTCTGGGGAAGGGTCCGGGGGAGAGGGGGATATAGGGAAGGGTTCTGGGGGGGGATGGTGGAGGTCGGGCGGGGGTTCTGGGGATCTGGGGCAGGCTGGGGAGGGACCCATGGTCTCTGGAGGTAGAGGTTTGGGGAGCAGGGGTTGGTGGGGGGGGGGGGGGGGATGAGAGGCTCTGAGGAGCCAGGGGTTGATGGGGGAGGCTGGAACCAGGGAGTGGGACGGGGGGGCGCTGGAGTGGGGGACATATGGGTGGAGCTGGTTGAGTGGTAGAAGCATAAGAAGTGGCTCTGGGAGGCTAAAAGATGGGAGATGGCTTAAGGGAGTCAGTGGAAAGAGGGCTGGGAGCCAGGAGATGATGGGGGTGGAGCCAGGAGCCCTGGAGAGGAGATGACCTTGGGGAGCCAAGGGGGCTGGAGGTAGGGGTTGAGGTGAGAGATGGGGAGCCAGAAGATGATTGCAGGGGGGAGGCCGGAGCTATGGGACCAGGGGGTAAGCAGGAGAGTAAGGGAAGTAATGAGAAGGTGGCTGGAGCCAGGAAGTGGCAAAGGAAATGGGATGGCATAGGGGAAAGACAGGAGCTGTGGGATGGAGGGACGGCTGTGTGGCTGGAGGAGCTGCATCCAGCGGGTGTTGGGTGAGAGAACTGGGGGCAGGTCTCTAGATGCTGTTGTGATCCATGTGCTCTACATGGATGGATGTGTGGGGAGCAGTCTTGGGTTATTTTCATTTACATAGGCTGGGGTTACTGGATGCCAACAGGGGGATCATGTTAATCTTTTTCTCTCTGGTTAGGCAAGTAGAACTTGTGTTAGCATGGGCGTGAGCCCAGCAGTGTCTCAGATGGCTATGAGGAGGATTAGTGGGGGTTGTTAGGGGAAGGATGGTGAGGTGTAAACTTTGAAAATTCAGAAGGCTTGGAGAATTTGTCCAAACTGAAATTCTAGCTGTTTTAGGGCCCCTCAGCCCCCTAATTCATTTACAACCACTTCCTGCAACCCAAAATGTAGACACTTTGGTTTAAAGGTTCTGTATAGACAAAACAAAATTACCTGGAAAAACTAGCTTTGTGTTCCTGCTTCCCACTCTGTTGCTGGTGTATTGGAAGCAGCATTCTGAATAGTCATATTCAGTGTAGCTACTTGTTTCGAGAAGAAAGCATGATATTTGAAATTATGTTGAACGTTTTATTGATTCCATCTCTACATTCAGTCAACTCAAGTTAAGCACCAGTTCGTGTGCACCTGTTGGGGACAGATCATTTGACCTGTTCTGTTCATTCCCTCTGGGGCACCTGGCATTGGCCACTGTCGGAAGACAGGATACCTGGCTAGATGGACCTTTGGTTTGACCCAGTATGGCCGTTCTTATGTTAGTCCAAATGGGGTCTAAAGATTCTCACTCTATTCTGGAATCCACCATTTACACCTCTGTTCCTTCCTGGTATTCCTTTATGCTCTTCTTCTGGCTGGGTGGGCAGTTGATCTCAATGGATGGGTCAGGAGGGGATTGGCTGGGTCACTCTCTAATGCTGTAGATAAGATGCAACTCTTTTGAAACGTCACATCTTGTCACAATTGGCAGCTATGGCATAATGGAGACTTACGGGTAAGTTAGCTGAATCCACCCTTCATGTTGTATCTTGTATACTTTGACCTGGACAGACCATCAGTGTGCCTGGTCTGTGGACAGCTGGCGGGTCACATGGTAGTTGCTTCTACAGGCTCCGTTGCCAAGCACCTGGATGCCTATAAAAGCAGATGGAAATGAGGCAGAACCAGCTTCCTACCTCCATGAGGGGTTGCTACCTAAGAGGAGGAGTGGCAACAGGAGATTGGAGCCACCAGCAGGACTGGAGCATGCTAGAGGAGGCAGGAGCTGCCTATAGGACGGGAGCTGCCTGTGTGGGGGGAATAGGAGTTGGTATTTTGGAAAGTATGTGCAGGGAAAGAGGAGATGGGGTCATGTGGTGGAGAAATCGGTAAGCATTACTGACCTCAGCCTCAGCTCCACCTGTGTGGCCCCAGCGGTTAACCGATTAAATGATATAATTTTAATCGTTTAAATGGTTACCTTTTTTACATCCCTAATTGTTACCCTCATCCTCCCTCCCTCCCTTCCTTCCTATTGGTTTTTGCCCTCACTTGTTAGATCTCCTAATTTAGGCTCCATTCCTACAATGCAGTTGGTGGGACTTGGCAGGGGTCTGGCTCTGGTGGGTTATATTGCAGGATTGAGGTCTGAGATTGAAAGCTCTGCAGGGTATAGATTCTTTCTATGTATTGGTACAGTGCCCAGCATAATAGGGCCTCAGTCCTGATTGAAGCCTTTGGGAGCTACTGCAGTACAATTAATCATGTAGTGACCATATACTTTCCTAAAGTTGTTTTTCCATATGATCCACTGTTGTCATTGCCATAAGGATGCTAGATGATTGTGAATGAGAGGTGATGTGGTCTGTGTGACTGCGAAGGATAGAAGAGGAGACCTGTGCACCCATGGTTTGGAAAGGAGGTGATGCACAGAGATGGGGTCCACACTGAAAAAATCAGAGAATCTGTTGTTAAACCTAGGTGAAGTAGCAATAAAAGCCAAGTGGTTGCTATACCATGTGCACCCAGTAGCTAAACAAAGACCATTAGGATTGATGACAGAGTTGTGCATAACTTCCATAATGAAATCTGAACTGGACAAAAACAGTTTGATTTTCATTTCGGTTGAAAAACTTATAAACAGGCCAAAGTTCACAAACCTTTTGGCAAAGCTGGGCTAAGTTTTAGCAAATCTGGATTGATTTATGGCTTCTGGTGGAAACTATGCAAAACTGGATGGTTTCAACCCCAAACCAGAGAAAAGTTATGGTTTTTGACTGAACTGTATGGAGTTGGGATTTGTTTGAAACTGAAACTCAAAGCAAAACTCAGAGTCCCTAAATCCTTGTCCATCAAATCCAAGAGGATAGGTTTCCCTGAACTCCTGTGAACTCAAGCCACTATGTTCCATACACCTGAATAGTCTGTTTTTATTTTGTTTTCCATATTTGCCAGACTACTGTGAATTCAAATGGAATACAGATTCTGTTTTGCCTTTTGATTCCTTCTTAGCAAACGTCTGGAAACTCAACTGCATTAATACATAGACTTGAGTGAATAGCGTCTACTCTAATTTCTCCTTTGGGAGTGGATACGTTAATACTGATTCTACTCCAGGCGATGAAATCAAATGAACTTGTGTTTCCCTTTGCAGATGTTGTGCTGGAGAAGGCCATGCACAAGTGTATCCTGAAGCCCTTGAAAGGCCACATTGAAGCAATGCTGAAAGAGTTCCATACTGTCGATGGCTCTTGGAAACAGTTAAAAGAAAACCTGCAGCTGGTGCGGCAGAGGAATCCTCAGGAACTGGGTGTATATGTCCCAACACCAGACTTTGTGGACGTTGAAAAGATTAAAGTCAAGTTCATGACCATGCAGAAAATGTATTCACCTGAAAAGAAAGTCATGCTGCTGCTGAGAGTGTGCAAACTGATTTACACTGTCATGGAGAATAACTCAGGTAATGCTCTCTTCAGGTTAGAGCTCCCTGCTTTGAAACAGTTAGGAGGGGGGAGTAAATCCTTTTTCTCCCTGCTGATTGGAGTTCCCCTTTCTTCACTTAGCTTTGATCTCTTGTCATCTGCCTCTCTGTTCCCCGGAGTCTCTGATAGACTCTGCTACTCAGTTTCTTTCTAGAGCGCTGCGCCGCTCCTGGCAGCGGATCAATTAAGATACGCAGATTTATGAACCGCAGGAACAGCCCTTGGAAGAACAGCTCTGGTTAACTACTGGCGTTTGAAGTAGACATTAAAGCTATGAGCAAGGCTTTCCATAGCTGTTCTTTGGAGCCTGAATTTGAAATTCTTAGGCTGTATCTATACTACAGCTTATATCGGCAAAACTTTTATGTTACTCGTGGCTGTGAATAAACCATGCCTCTGAGCAACATAAGTTACGCTGACATAAGCGCTCATGTGCACAGCGGTATGCCGGAGGAAGAACTTCTCCTGCCGACATAGCTTCTGCCACTCAGCGAGGTGAGGTTTTTTTATGCCGACGGGAAAGCTCCCTCCCATCAGCATAGAGCATCTTCACCAGATGCGCTGCAGTGCTGTACGTGTAGACATGGCCTAAGTCTGAATGCTTTCTGGAAACCATAGTAGATTCAGTTAAACACATTCTGTGTATTTCAGTAGTGGAGTCTAATAAGGTAGAAACAGTACTGCTGCGTGAAAAATACTTTGTAACTGGAAGGTGGCAAACAAAGCCTATACTTCTGGCTAACAGTGCCTGTGGATGTTCTACTCTGAGCACTATCTTTTATGTTTTAGATCAAAAATAACATTACCACTTCTACGCTGCAACAAGTATCTAAAATACAACCCCAGACCTTGAAAGCTAGGTAATGAAATGGAGTTACATACCGATAAGAGGCATTTTTAAAATACTTGTGCAGAGTCAACAGGAGGCATGCAGCTAAAATATGCTGCTAGGTGGTGAGAATGCAGGGGTGTCACCCTGTTCCCAGGCTGTGGCCTTATGGGGTGTCACGAGCGAAGCTGGGTGAAGCTTGTGTTGGGAGAGTTCCCAAGGCAAATACAAGATGTTGCAGGAAGTGATGTTGGTAGGTGCATTTTCCCCCTCTAAGGACGCACTGAATCTGGACCCCAGGATAGGGTGACCAGACAGCAAGTGTGAAAGATCGGGACAATGGATGGGGGGTTAATAGGAGCCTATATAAGAAAAAGACCAAAAAATCGGGACTGTCCCTATAAAATTGGGACATCTGGTCACCCTACTCCAGGATGGTGCTAAGGGCCCAGTGCTCTTGGAGGTGCCATCTTTCCATCCTATGGATGGCACTTCTGCACGAGTCAGGTCCGGTATTCTGCCCAGCTTATATTCTGCCTGTCTGAATTCCTCTTGCAGTTTTAGTCTGATTTAGTAGTGTTTACTTCCTGGCCCTAAACTGCTGCAGGTTGTTACTTCATGGTATTTAAATGGCTGTTACGTTACAGTGTTGGGTGAAGCGTTTCTTGCATGGATAATAAAAATATTGACTGTCTAAGAAGGCAGTATCAGTAAGTTACTGCACTGTGTGATGGGGCTGGGAGCGGGTGAATGTTCCTGAGTTGTGCTCTGTTGCTAGCAAGCACATTGGTGCTCCTAAGTGTTATGGTAATATAAATCATGAGGGGTGGGGTGGGAGGGCTGGTTCAGGGGTTAGGAGTGGCTTAAGAATCTCTGCTATATATCCAGCCAGCAGAGGGCTCTCTAGGGGGCCATTTAGCTGGTGTAACGTAGGGTCTGTCTACTCAGCAGCTGGGAATGTGTTTCACAGCGTGGATAGTCAGACATGCGCTAGCTCTGCTTCAGCGAGTGTGCTAAAAATAGCCGTGTGGCCACGGCTGCAGAGGTGGCGTTGCTGCTATACAAGTGCAAAGTACCATTATTTTTATTATTCTTAATAATAGCAACAATGGAGCTCAGGACTCTAATGCTCCTGTAAGTTCAGTCTTCTATGCTGGGCTATCTGGTTCAAATGCAGGCTCTAGGATTTCCAGTAAGGTCTTCCTAGAAATAGAATTTTATTCTTAAATATAAGAGAGAGAAAATTGTTGTTTTCTGTTAATCTGCTCGTAGAAATCTATGCGGAAAACATCGGAATTGTATGGCAAGCTTAGCCTCAGTGAGTCAGTTAGCTGCGTGCCATCAGCAATGGATACCAACATAGGCCTTGCTCCTAAATTCCTTGTGCAGCCAAAACTCAGTTTTGGGCATGTCAGCAATACAAGATCAAACTCCGAGTTGGTATATTGCAATAGCCGATTTCCAGAGACTCCCACCTTGCCACACACCAATAAACACCATTCTGTAAAACAGTGTAATTGTGCAGTATCGTGAAAACAGCAACAGAATGTAAGCTTTGACCAGCTGAAAACAGCAAAAGGGTTTGGCCATTGTATCAGTGTCTGTGTTCCTTTTGCTCCAGGGAGGATGTATGGGGCGGATGACTTCTTGCCAGTGCTGACCTATGTAGTGGCCCAGTGTGACATGCTGGAGCTTGATACTGAAATTGAATACATGATGGAACTGTTGGATCCGTCTTTACTACATGGAGAAGGTAAATGTTTGTTTTTGTTTTTATTAAAACCAGGTGGAAGTGTGCGTGGCGGGAAGTGGAGGGGAGTTCCCTCATAACATAATTTTAACCAAAAGTATTTAAAGGAGCCCCAAAGCTAATGGTGTGCTGCCAGTACGTTATCAAGAGACTCCCAAAACTGTCCTTGTTCGGTTGTGATATAACCCGAGTCCCAAGGGTGCATGTGGTTGCAGCGTGTAGAGGTGATGGACTGGAGAATCTGTTTGTGTTGGTTCTCATTTCCGTGACTAGGATTTCAATAACCTGGGAGGGACGTGGCATGACTTGGCAAACAAGCTTATATTACGTGCACATGCTGGATGTGTTTATACTTCAAGTCCTGAAAAATATTCTGAGTCTATTAATAGTGCAGCAGCTTTCAATTCACATGTAATTTGGAATGGAGGCTGGGGTGAATGCCTGGGGGATTCTCTCCTGGAAAATACTTTGAGAATACCTCCCATGTGATACACCCATTCCAAAGGCAAAATATTTGCTTCTTGGGAAGTATTTTTTTGAGTCCCTGAAACAAGTCATCTGTGGCGGGGATGACAGAGAGGGCTAAATGTCATCAGAGGCAGGAAAATCACCCCAGCCCTCTCCTGTTTCATAGCGATATTTAACAAGGTGCTCCTGAGAACTGCCCCTCGCTATCTGTAGCTAGGAAGATGGTTTTTAACTCCTGTGGTCAAGGTCACTTTTGAGTCTAAATTTATGTATTTTTGCCATCAAGAAAATTCGACTTCCTACTCTCATTAGACTGAACAAAACTGCTGTATCCCGTTGGATGTTGGCATGTTTGAGAGGATTATGTCAGGCCTCCTCCGATCCTACAGTTGTCTGTTCCCTGCGTTGGAGTATAGAGCTCCTCCAGCACATTGTTTAGAAATCTCATCATGGAAAACATTTGATGTATGAAGCTGGAGAACATTAACATGCTTGAAACGCAGAAACATCTGCTGAACTAACAGGAAGTTTTGTTTTTAGTTCAATAAAAGGAGAAGTCCACAGTTGATTGGCTCTTGTCTTTAACACCAGATGCTCTGATAATTTGTAGGAAGAATCGTCTAGTGATTTGGGACTGTGCGGTTCAAAAGGAATGTACTGTTCACTTTGGTGGGGTTAGTGGTTTTGTCACATTTTATGTATGAAACTTGTTTGGAGACTAAAAGCCAAGAGGACACTAACTATAATCCTGAAACTACTGCCGCCGGCAGTAGTTTAAATGGCAGTGAATGGCTAGAGCTTCAGCTCAGTGGAAATCTCCTATTTGACTGCCTTGTTTAAAAAAAACAAAACAGGGTGTGCCTGTGTCCCCCACTTGCAGAGAGCTCAGTCTCATCAACTTCACTCTGGGACTTTTACTACTTCGGGCTTGCATTTTCTGCTGTAATTCTGTCTTGGCTTCATTTAAATCCCTAATAAAGATGAAGTAAATAGCAAGAGAGGATTCCAGAGACCACCTCCTGAGCTAGACAGAAACAAGAGGATGCGGAGGAGATAAAGAGGCCATGGGAGATTCCTTTTAAAAAAACACAAACTAGGGCCAGCCTTCTGGCCAAAAGAATGGATTGTGTCTCAGCCTCCAAATTGTAGCAGACTCTCTGGAATATTTCCTGGGTGTAACAAATTAAATTCTCAGCTGTTGCTTGAGGGCAATTACAATAATTTGACATAAGATCTGTGTACTGTAAACTGCAGATTTTTGTTTTAAAAACCAGCCTGTTAATTTTACCTCTACCCAAAACTCAGGAGGGGAAAAAAAACACTCTTTGAAAATGGGGTGTTCAGATTAAGGGAAAATAATATCCAACTTCAAAGAGCATAGTGCAAATGCTCAGAAAAAAAGGATCATTGCTTATGTGTCGGGTTTTTTTTTTAAAAAGTAACTATGCACAGTACTGCTGCGCCTAGTGATATAAATGTCCCGTCACTTCATAACATGCAGTGTCTATAAAACTGAGAAACACGGGTAAAGAGCAGGGGTGGCCAAACTTACTGACCCCCCCAAGCCACATATGACAATCTTCAGAAGTTTTGAGAACCGAGGCACGCCTGCCAGGGCTTGGGGCTTCAGCCCCACTCCTGCCCTGGAAGATGTGCCCCATGGGGCTGAAGCCCCGAAACCCCCCCTCCTTGCTTGGCAGAAGCCCCTACCCCACCACTGTGCTACAAGGCAGAGGTCCCAACCTCCCCCGGTACCAGTCTGGTAGGTGGAGAATGTGTGTGTGTGGCAGGGGGGTGTAGGGAGCTCCGCGAGCTGGACTTTAACTGTAAAAGAGGGGCATGTAGCTCACAAGCCATGGTTTGGCCACCCCTGGTACAGAGCAATTCTAATCAGCCAACACATTAACCAAATCCATTACTGCAGACTACATGGATGAATGGGTGGATAGACTGATTTCAACAGATGAATTTGTGTTTTCCACTAGTGTTAATAAAAGTGTTGTCTGGTTACATTGTTAAGAATGTTCATATAGGATAACAGGCCCACTGCGGTTTGTTTTTTTTTTTCTTTAACCAGAATATGACTACTTTGGAAATAGTATAAAGAATTTTATGGTATTCTGATTATAGTTTTTCCCCTGCTATATCAGCAGGGCTGACTGATTTCATATTCCTGAATATTCTGAAAATCTCTTCTCTTGCACTACTTCACAGGAGGCTATTACTTGACAAGCGCGTATGGAGCACTTTCTTTGATCAAGAATTTCCAGGAAGAACAAGCAGCCCGATTGCTGAGTTCAGAAGCCAGAGATACTCTTCGGCAGTGGCATAAGAGGAGGACAACTAACCGAACAATTCCTTCAGTTGATGATTTTCAGGTACTGCATATGGCTTGTGAGAGAAATAAAGGGCCAGATTCTCTGTTGCAGCTATGATCTCTTTGGTGCAACAGTTAATTTGGCCATGAGGAAAATGGTTATGGCTCCCTGATTCTTGTCTAGCTCTGCCTTGGCCGTGGCATAGCTTAGAGCAGCCTAGAGGTTGCTCTAACCTACAGCAGCGGGCAGTAGCTCTTCAGGCCACCTCCTCTGTCATTCCCCACCATATTCCCCAGTATAAAGGAGTAGTACGGGAGCCTGTTACACAAGCTGTATGCCTACTGGAGACAACCCCATGCTGGGAGAATCCCCAGCTAGAGAGGAGATGTTAGTTTTCACTCCAGAATCTGACCCAAAATGTCTCACTTAGTTTCTTTGAGAGTCCTTGGATTATTTTGTAAAGTTGAATTACTGAATGGTCTGGAGAAAGCATATTAAGTGAAGGAACTTAATTTTTCCCTCCCCTTTGTACAATATAAAGGCTCACAAGTGTGCTAACCTGCGTTATCTTCATTTGGTTTCACTTCTCTGTTTGCTTCACTGTAAGATAATGGAGCCAATCCAATTTATGCCAGCTGGGGATCTGGCACACTGTATTTCTGAGAAGCCTATAATAGTGAGCTGAATTGCAGACATTTAGTAGTCTTTCTGCCTTTCCTTGCTACCCTTTAAGTGTAGGGCAATAGATTCCTCTAAAGATAACTGATATTAGCATTAGGATTGTGTCACCCCTTTAGAGCAGAGCTGAGAGTTGTTCACAGAAATCGTGGTATACCCAAATACTGTCTAGACAGACTATTCTTGCAAGTTACTTCAGAATAGTTGGCTAGATTAAGTAAAAATCTAATTTCTCTCTGTCACAAAGTGACTTTTAAAATCATTTGTTTAGTTGCTTAGACACACTTATTGCCTGGGACGGACTCATCCTGCAACTTCTTGTGAATGTTTTACAGTAACAACTTGTCCTTTCAGATCAGCTTTAATAAGAAAAGCTGTTTCTTTCTCAGTTCCATCCCCTCTCTTCACTAGGTATTTCCTGCCTAAAACTGTGTTTTATGGAAATTTTATTATATTATAATTTGTGAGCCACTTATTCAAATTCCTATAAACTCAGAAACTACACTGGTATTTCTTTCTACCTTCCTCGCCAGGCTGAGTCTGTCTGTCTGTTTAAAACTAACACACAATCATTATTTTGCTTTTCTCCTTGTATATAAAAGCCCAACTTCAATAATTTTGCTCAAAGTCTGAAAGTTCCATCTCTCTCTGAATGTTTCTTGCATTTGAAAATAAAGGCCAAGAATTAAAAAATGAGTGCCTAAAGTTAGTCTGTTAAATAAATTTGACTCAAAAGTATTGCACACCCTTAGCTCCTGCTGAGTACAGTGGTTTTGAAAATATTGATAAAAATTGTAATTACAGTTGGAATTTCTAGGCTATCTTGCTAACAGACTGACTGCAGTAATGACATTGGCAGTATTGAGAACCTAGTATAAGAGGCTGTAAACACACCATAATCCTTGTGCAAAGTTTAAACATTATAAAAGACCTTAGTGTGGTTCTGCTCTGAAAAGTGTCTGTACAGACCTGTGTTCTGGGTGTATTCAGAATCCTATCAGCTGTCAGTGACAAGGAAGTGTTTTACTTCCTTCGAACACAGCTAAGAAAGGGTGAGCTGGGGACAACATCTGTATTAAGGGAGGATTGTTTTTCAAGTCCAGAGTTAGACAACTCAGATAAGTCAACTGCTGGACTAAAATATGTGGGTGGAGGGTGGATCCATAGAAAACTCTTTGGTTTCAGTTATTTACAATTCACATCATAGTCTCCAAAGTTTCCGTACTAGTTCATGATGACTCTCTAGTGGGAATTGCACAATCAAGGTCTGAGGAGGTCATCAGTCGATAGTGAAAACTTATTTCATTCAAGGCAACCATGATGTTCTCTCTGCCTGCCTGGTGGTTTTCTTGCAAAGAATTAAAGATTGAGGTTGAACATGAGGGAGTTGGGGAAAAGAGCAGACTTGCATGATGTCTCTTTTTAGGAGGAGGATTAATTAACTTAGGCAGTTAACCATGACCACTGCACGGAGATAGTCGCGTCTCGCTGAGAACCATTTTATAAATACATCTCAATTTTCCTGTGCTTATATGACATCTCAATCTACCTGAGTCTACCCTCCCCATCTACCAGAGTATTGCAAACTTTTTGTAGCAGCTTTGCTAAAGAAATGTCCTAATCTTAATACATCTTCCATGGAGGACTTCATCTCAGAATGCTTCTGCTGTGGGCTAAATTCTATACTCTGTGCCACCCCTTCTTCCTGTGCACCCAGATTTCAGAGTCAAGGTGTGTCACATGACTGAGAATCGTGCTGAGTGAGGATGCCTGGAGAACAGATTTGGTACTGTGTAAGAGAGACCACAGCTTCCCTTTCTGGGTGCTTCTTCCAAAACAGAATCTTGAATCATCAAGATTATACCCCAGACAGACTATGCTTGGCAAAATTCATGCACTCAGCTAGCTGCTAGAGATGCCAGAATTCTTCAGATCCTTTCTCACACATCCTGTGTTCCTGAAATAAAATATCCCCATATGGACAGATGTGCAAAGCCAGACCCAGATGATTTGAATTGCTGCATACTTTCTTGGTCCAGCTATTTCTGGAGGAAGACATGCCAGTTTCATCACCATCATTTTTACATTGCACAGCAACAGCCTTGACGCTAATCAAAAAGTTCCTCTTTGGACACTGGAAAGATTCTGTTACCCAGGGTTTTCAGAACCCCCAACAGTGGTAACTTAACTATTTTGCTCTAGGTTGTGTCAGGAATAAATCAATAGGAACACAGCAATTCTGTCTGATCAAGAATTAAATGCAAGTAAGCGTGCCCTTGTCTAACATTGCAGTTTATTAGATTTAAGCACACACAGACATAAGCAATAGGTTTAGAACATCCCAAATATTTACCTAACATCTGGAACGGTATTGAGTAATTAACAGCAGGATCGCAGTGATCCGTTGCTCACCCGCCAGGGAGAAAAGTTGTCAGGAAAAACATTGTTCAAGATGTCTTCAGAGGACTGCTCCAGAGTACTCTATTAGCTAATTTTTTTACAACTAACTTCTACAAAACACACAGGTCATAGTGACACCTACTAAATCATCACTTTTCCTAACTCTCAATAAACTTCTAATATCAGAGTAGCCCAGACTCAAGGTCTTCAAATCACCAAGGTTTTCAGTCTCTGTTGACTTGTCTGTCCCCTCCTAACATTCTGATTAGCAGAAACTGCCAGCTAGTTTTTGACCTTGTATCTAAAAGCCTGCTTCAAATTAACCCTTAACTATGTGGTCTATTTTATTAATTCATGGTGGCTGATTGCACATAATATGGTTCCAGTTAGCTTGATCACATTCTGGGGTATACACACCCCTCATCTGAGTTGAAAAGCAAACTAGCCCTTAAGTTGATGTTGGATAAATAATCACCCTCCTCATATATGTGATCTTGATAGTTGTGAGTTATGGGGGAACTTTTCCAAGTTTTAACTTCTCCTTAAAGCAACCCTGTCAGGGTTCAAATCGTGCATGTTTAAAACTTCTCTGTACTCATGTTAGTAACACATTAAATCATTAAAAAAATGGAGGAGAAATTAAAGCTAATTTACTTTTCCCTATTTATGCTATTTACTTTTTGCATTCACTCAGATAGGATAATGAAAATAGAATAGTTTTGCTTTTATTTACAGTCATGTTCACTCTAGTCATCTCATTCACTGTCACTAGCCTGAAAGGTTTGGGCTACAAACCCCACAGGGGAATATTTAATTATTAAGAAAAAGTATTTCCATTGGAATTTTTAAAAATTATACAGGTGTTATTGTTGTCTTAGCTTTCAACAGCTTGCATTTACAAAATGTAAATGCACAACTCGCATGTGAGTTGGCCCCTTTAATGACTCATTCGCACACAAACACAAGTCCCATCTGCAGTTCTCACTCAATGCTAACCTCTTCTTCCTCGATACTACCCCCTCCTTTCTGACTTTTTCCTTTCCTCCAATTCCCCTCCCAGATACATTTTTTCCTGTAGAAACTCTCTGCAGCAGACTTATTTTTTCTTGCGTTAAAAATTTGGATGTTATTTCTCAGTTTCCATATTTTACTTTTCTAATGCTTATTGGAAAGCAGAAAGGTAATATTATTTCTTCTTATGTTGTAGTATTTAGCATTTATATGTAGTGCCTGGGGGAGAGGGTGTCGCTTTGCAAAGAGAAAAAAGATCAAATTCCTGCCTTAAAATTATATCGATGCATTCAAATATTGCACGGTGGATTGTCTTCATGTACCGTCTTTCTGTGCCTCTTAAAGAAAAGTAAAAATGTTCCTTCTTTTAAAATAGGCGGAGAGTTCAGTTTTCATCTGATTTGTTAAGCCAGTTCTGGTGCTTTCCGAAAGTCTCTATCCTGCAGTCTAGCACAGCAGAAGCATTTTTTGGACATACTGCCCCGGGTGTATGTGTGTTGCTTCCCAACATTACAGATCACGTTGTTCATCACAAGGGATACCAGTTTTGTAGCAAGATGGTCCCCACTTACAGGGAAGCTTGGAAATGTAGTGTGATATTTCTCACAATTAATGTGTGGTGAGGCTTGCTGCTTACTTGTTGACCTTTCAGTCTGCTGCTGGGCTGAGCAGAACAGTTTCACATTTCTTTTTAGGTGTTTAATTTGACTTTTGGTTTCTATCTGTTTTCTCACTTTACAGAACTACCTTCGAGTTGCATTTCAGGAGGTTAACAGTGGCTGTACAGGAAAGACCTTATTAGTAAGACCTTATATCACCACAGAAGATGTGTGTCAGCTCTGTGCTGAAAAATTTAAAGTGGACAACCCAGAAGATTATAGCCTGTTTCTTTTTATCGATGATACCTGGCAGCAGCTAACAGAAGATACTTACCCTCAGAAGATTAAGGCAGAGCTGCACAGCCGTCCCCAACCCCAGGTTTTTCATTTTGTCTACAAGCGCATTAACAGTGATCCTTATGGTGCCATTTTCCAGAACAATGATGACAACTCCACTTTATAGAACAGATGCTTGTTGTTTGGGTTCCTTGTTACGTAGTTGAAAACATCTCTTGCGTGGCTGCCTTCTTCTTTAGGAGGCAAAAGTCTATAGATTAAATGCCTAGTAAGAACACAAGCAGCAGCTTTTAGCACTGCCTATAGAAAGTATACGTACAGTACTTATGGCCAATTGTGCAGTGTGTGCTACCACTGTGTCTGAGTGAACAACCCATGCAGCTGAGTTTCTTGGTACACAGAAGTTGTTACACTGTGGCCCTCTGCAGGTCTATCCATGTAAGCATGTTGAGATTAAGTTTCTCATACTTATCCTTCAGCCAAATGTTGTTTTGATTTAAACATGTATTCTAGACAAACTTTTGGGTGCACTGGCTGGTACACTCTCAGTTTCACCAGCATAAGTGTGACAAGACTGTCCGATGCAGGGCATCAATTAATTCCCAATTATGTGGATGGTTGCATCCTTTTCTATCTAAAACTAATTTTTTTTTTTTTTTTTACAGAAAGACTCCATGTTTTTATGTATTTCATAGAAATTTTATAGCAGTTGCAGGTAAACTGTAAGGGTGGGTTTTTAAAATATTTTTTTAACTATAAAGTATTCTATAATTATGCATGTGACTTTAACATTTAATATACAAAAATAAATCTCTTGCTGGTTTTAGAGTATCGCATTAAATGTCTGTGGTTTTTCTCTTCCTCGTTACTGGAGGGTTTTATGCAACTTTTGTTTTGAGATTGTTCTGTTTCTGTAAGCCATTTGTATTGTTGACACTGGCCACATAGATGCCTTTATATGAACCTGATGTACTGTTATCCAGACTATTGTTTATATACAGCAGTTTTAGAAAAGCAGATACAAGAGTGTGGAATGGGGATATGAAATAAATGGATGTAGAGAAGAGGTAGAGAATGTAGAGAAACTAATTTAGGAATCAAATGTGTTTAGTCTGCTGGTTCAGGCTCCTTGCAAAAAATGGGTGAAGGAGATTGATAAGGAACAATTGTATGTTTAAAGTACTGTAGATATGCTGATGGGTAACTCTCCCACATATTAGTTGTGTTAGCAAAGGATTAAAAGCACCAATAAAATGGATGAGAACACTAACCATTTTATATAGATTGATACTAGCAACCTCAAACATGTTTTTGACTGAAACAAAGATTGTTGTAGCTTTTGATGAATCTGAGATTGTCTTTAGACAAGAGAGAAACTGTAAAGACATCTGAAAGTCAAAGCCTTAAACATAGAAAGGTACAATGAAATGAATGTGTATGTTCTATAAAACCTGTTCAAAATACTGAATATTGTGGTTGAAATTCTGGCCCCCATTGAAGTCAATGACCGTTTTACCATTGACTTTAACGGAGCCAGGATTTCTCACTAAATTCTTGTAGTAGTGTAATTGAAGACAGGTGGTCACAAGAACATAGACCTTGGACTTGTATGGATGTGTATATATAAGATCTGTACCTTTTTTCATGTTGGTTTGCCACATATCTGAAATCGTTGGCACATGTTTGTGTTTTTATTTCATTTTGTAAATGATAAATGAGTTTTGCACATAATACATTGTAATACTATATTATAACCACAGGCGTTGTGTGATTATTTTGAAGACAGTCCACGTGTTGAATTTTTGTTCATCAATAGAATTTTATGATACAGATCTCATAGTGTTTATCCGTGTGTAGCCCAGCTGTAAGAGAAGGCTCAGGAAGTATTTGCTAGTCTGTATAAAATATAGTTGTGAGGAGAAGCTGAATGATTTCATTAAAGGAAAGCAGCTTTTCATTTTTATTGAAATTAGGAATAATTAATACAAAGAAAATGATTGAGTTGGATGGTACAGGAAGGCAGCAGCAATATGAAGGAGCCTAAAGTTAGATTCCCCCATCCAGTGTCTTCCTCCATAAACTGGAAGCAGTGCTTATTTATAAAATGTCAGTGCACATTTTGTTAGGCCTTAGCCCTGCACTGACTTTTGAGGACCATGCACATTGAAGGTAACACCTGAAATTCTTGGTGCCATGGACTAGAACCAGTCAGTCATTCTCCATGATAAAATCCTAGAAATGCAGGGCTGGAAGGGACCTCGAGCGGTCATCTAGTCCAGTGGTCTCCAAAGTGGGGTGTGCGAGACGAACAATTGGGGGGTGCAGCAGGAGGAGCACCACTGGAGGGGGAAAAAAAAAAGGGAGGGGGGGCTGCCCCGAGTCCTCTGGCCTGTGGAGGAGCAGGGGCAGCTGCGCAGCCAGCGGCCGGAAAGAAGTGGCACTTTCCCCTTCAAAGCTGGCCGGAGAGAAGCGGCACTTCGAAGGGGAAAGCGCTGCTTCTCTCCATCCGCTGGCTGCGTGGCTGCCCCTGCTCCTCCTGAGTCCTCCAGCCCGTGCTCTCAGGGCCACATTTCGAAAGGGGCTTTACAGCTGCAGGCCAGGGCCCCGGGGCCCCCTTAGCCCAGGGCCCTGAAGCCCCTAAAGCCCCTGCGTTCCGGGTGGCCCTGCCTGCCATTGGGGGGATGGGGGGCACCTCCCAGAATTGCGGCTCCCAGAATCGTGGCCATGGGGGAGGGGCTGCGCTGTGTAGAGCCACCTGCACACCCCCTGCACCAAACAGGAGCTGCCCCAGGTAAGTGCTCTGCACCTCCTGCCTGCCCCAGCCCTGAGCCTCCTTCCGCACCCCCACCCTGAGTGCCCTCCCACACCCTAACTCCCTCCCAGACCCCGCACCCCACCCTGAGCACCCGCTGTATCACAAAGTGTTAAACCAAGATTTTCAAAAATAATAAAGCATGTTCAATCACATTGCTCTCACTAAAAATATTAATAATAATTTTTTGTAGTGAGAGCAAAAAGGTTTTTTGTACTGTTAATAAATAAAATAAAATAATTTTAATATTGTTTTTCATCTTTATCTCATCGTTTTTTAATTTTTTTGTGTATGTTTTATAATTTACATAATACATTAGTACAATAGTACATGTATATAATTTATACATATATTGGGGGTGCATGCTCAAAAATTTTTTACTTATAGGGGTGCGTGGTCAAAATAGTTTGGAGACCACTGATCTAGTCCATTGGTTCTCAACCAGGGGTCCGGGGCCCTCTGGGGGGCTATGAGCAGGTTTCAGGGGGTCCTCCAAGCAGGGCCAGTGTTAGACTTGCTGTGGCCCAGGGCAGAAAGCCAAAGCCCCACCGCATAGGGCTGAAGCTCAGGGCTCTGAGCTCTGCCACATGGGGCTGAAGCCAAAGCCTGAGCAACTTAGCTTCGCGGCGGGGTCCTGTGGCATGGGGCCCCAGACAATTTCCCTGTTTGCTGCCCCCTAATGCTGGCTCTGGCTTTTACATGCAGAAAAGCAGTTGTTGTGGCACAGGTGGGCCATGGAGTTTTTATATCATGGGGGGGGCTCTGAAAGAAAAAGGTTAAGAACCCCTGATCTAGTCCATCCTCCTGTCTGAGGCTGTGACTTATTTTTAAAAAGAAGGCAAGTGAAACGGGTTGCTAACTTCATTGCTCAACCATTTCTTGCTAAGTCAGGAGTGACACTGGCTCCATGGCTATGATATGGGAGGGAGGAAAAGAGAAAAATTGTTGAATAACTTCAGAACTCCAAATATGAAATGCAGGAAGGCAAAAAAGGAGCCGGGGTGGGAGGGGGGAGACACGTGCATTAACCACCTCAAGATGACTCTTCTGTACACTTACGCAATTAGAACACAATGTTTTTTAACTAATTTTCTTCACTGGGCAAACATTTCTCACTTCTCATAAAGCCAGGAAACAGATGCTAGTAAAGGTTTGGAAAGGGTACATTACAGAAAAAATAAATTGCTCATGTCTTGTGGGAGGAACAAAAGAGCATGCCATGAAATATTATGAAACCAGGGAAAGGTTTTAAACTACGTATTATTTGGAAGTTATATAACTTATTTTTTGAAAGCGCAGTCCCTATCAATTTTCCTTTCTGAGTTGGAGAAGCGACCAGGGCCTAGGTGTGAATAAAGCTAAACACCTTAGAAGACCGCTTCAAATTGAATGAGTCAACAATGTGATGCGGTTGCAGAAAAGGCTAATATTCTGGGGTGTATTAACGGGTCTGTAGTATGTGAGATAACTGTCCTGCTCTACTCGGCACAGGTGAGGCCCCAGCTGGAGTACGGTGTGCAGTTCTGGGCACCACATTTCAGGAAGGATGTGGACAAATTGGAGAGTGTCTAGAGGAGAACAACAAAAGTGATAAAAGGTTTAGAAAACCTGATCTATCAGGAAAGGGTTTTTAAAAATAGCTACTGGGCATGTTTAGTCTGGAGAACAAAAGACAGAGGGAGCAGGGGGACCTAATACCAGTCTTCAAATACCTTGAGGGCCGTGATCCGTTGTTCTCTAACTCCACTGGAAGTAGGACAAAAAGTAATGGGCTTAATCTGCAGCAAGGGAATGGAAATTTAGATATCCGGAAACCCTTTTTACCTATAAGGGTCGTTAAGCTTTGGAATAGGCTTCCAACGGCGTTTATGGAATTGCTGCCTTGGGGGGGAAGAGTTAAGAGCAGGTGGGACAAACGCCTGCCAGGGGCGGTCTTGGTTTACTTGGTCCTGCCTTGGCGCAGGAGGGCGAGAGATCGCTCCCTTCCCAAGGTCCCTTCCAGCCCGCTCGGGTCTATAATTCCTTGGTGGAGCCTCGTGCTACAAAAAAAAGCTGTAACCGTCCTCGCGCTGCCGGGGTTCGCAGCCCGCCCCCGGGCTGCCCGCGCGAGGTCCAGCTGCCGGGCCGGCGCGGGGGGGCTGTGACCCCGCCCTGTCCCAGGGCGCTGGCCGGCAGCTCGGAGGGGAGGGCGCGGCCCCCTACCCCGCGCGCGCGGCACCAGGCGCTGAAATTTCAGAGGGGGGCGGGGTCTATCTCGGCCAATGGGGCGCCGGCTTCTCAGCGGCTGGCAGGCACAGGGTGTTGCTAAGCAACCCCAGGAGGACGGAAGTGAGCCCGCCCGGGCGGGGTCAGAGGCAGCAGTTCCGGGTCGGCGCCTGGCCGGGCGGGGCGGTACCATGACCTCGCTCCGGGCCTTCACCTGCGACGACCTCTTCCGTTTCAACAACATGTGAGCGGCTCCCGCCCCGGCCGCGCGCTCGGTCCGGCGCGGGAGCGGGTTCGGTGTTGGTAGAGGGGGGGATGGGAGCTGCCCCTGCCGGTGGGACTCCGCCGGGCCCGGCCCCTCCTCACCCGCGGCAGCGCACTCGCGGTTCTGAGCCTGCCGCCTCCCCCGGCTCCGTGCCGAGCCGCTCGGTCCCGGCAGAGCCCCCGCCGCCGCCCGAGGTGGGTTTCCCAGCCGCCGTGGGAAATCTGTCTGCAGAACAGAGAGTGAGCCGCTGACATGTCCCTTTATGAGCTGGCTCCCGGAGTGAGCCTGGTGGACACTGGCCTGTACGAGAAGGGACAGTCCACAGAAGAAAAAAGAGCAGGAGGACTTGTGGCACCTTAGAGACGAACCCATTTATTTGAGCATCAGCTTTCCTGAGCTACAGCTCACTGCATCGGATGAAGTGGGCTGTAGCTCAGGAAAGCTCATGCTCAAATAAATGGGTTTGTCTCTAAGGTGCCACAAGTCCTCCTTTTCTCTTGGAAGTGTGTTGTTTGGAAGTAAAACCTAACCAGATAAATATTCCACGAGAAATATATTTTGTAAACCTTTTTAAAGTTTAATCTGTTTTTATTTTTTTACAGTAATTTGGATCCACTTACAGAGACTGTATCCTTATTAAGGTTTTCATTTTACTGTACATACAGTGTTGGTATCAGCAGTTTTGTTTCTTCCCATTATTGTAGTTCTTATTACTACACACATCTAATGTACCCAAAACTGTAATATGGTCTTTACTAAATTTATCCAAATTAGGTAAATTAATTTACAATAATATGTAGGCATTCCTCAGAGCCTTACATTTCCCTCCTGCAAGCCAGCCTAACCTTTAATTTCTCCTAACATATTTAAAACCATTTTGTTTTATGTTGCTCTCACGTAGACTATTTGCTGGCTTATCCCTACTCTTCTCTTAAAATCTTCTCTTAAAATCTGGGCGGGAGACCCAGACATAGGAATCTGCTTTGTCTGAGTAGAAAGCTGGCCATCCAATATATTGATAAAAGGAAGGTATAAATGCAACCAGTGGAGCTAAGACTCTCAACAGACAGCACGTGCTGTTCAGTGCATGTCATTTCAGTGCTGTTCTGTGGCAAGCCATATTCAGTCCAGCATTGTGTACTGAAGAAAGTAGTATTGTCAATTAGCTGTATACTTCTTAACAAGAACTCTGTAGTATGGGATACCTTTTTACCTACAGTATCTGGCTCACTGGCCAGAGTATTTTATTGTTGCAGAAGCACCAGGTGGAGAGCTAATGGGTTACAGTAAGTGGAGTATTGTACGCTTAGTGTGACAGCTTATAATTTTTAACCATTTAAGATTCTATTGCATTTTAATACTTAGGGGCTATAAATCAGATTTCAGTTCACTTCCTGTTTTTTAATATTCACACCAAACTGGAGCATTTACTGCTAACACCACCTCAGAGATGTTGAAGGGCATTTCATAAA